GACTGAGTGAGACTCCAACTCAAAAAAAAAAAAAAAAAAAAGATGAGGTCTCACTATGTTTTTCAGGCTGGCCTCCAACTCCTGAACTCAGGCAACCCTCCTGCCTCGGCCACCCAAAGTGCTGGGATGACAGGCATGCGCCACCGTGCCGGGCCTCAAAATCTTTACATTTGGAAAAAAAAATCTTACAGGGCAGCCTAACACGACGCGTGTCTGCCTGGGAGTTATTTATCTGCGTCACCCAGATAAGAGGTGACAGAGGAAAGCAAAGGTGTCCAAACACAGGGCAGTCATGTCACACGTGAACCCTGGCTGGGACGTCCCACCCCACAGGGCACGGCTGTCTCGATGCGTGATCCCTGCACGTAAGTCATGCACCCACTCAGGCTGTCTCTAGAAGGGGGCTCCTTCCCGCTCTTTGTGTTTTATGTTTTTATTTTTATTTTGGAGTTAGAGTCTCACTCTGTCACCCAGGCTAGAGGGCAGTGACACGCTCACCGCCACCACAGTCTCGACCTGCTGGACTCCGGCAATCCTCTTGCCTCAGCCTTCCAAGTAACGGGGACTACAGGTGTGTGCCACTATGTCTGGCTAATTTTTAATTTTTTTTGTAGAGACGAGGTCTCACTATGTTGCCCAGGCTGGTCTCAAACCTCTGGGCTCAGGCAATCCTCTCGTCTCTGCCTCCCAAAGTGCTGGGATGAGAGGCTGAGCCCCTGAGTCTGGCCTTATTTTTTAGAGTTGGAGTTTCACTGTCACCCAGGCTACAGTGCAGTGGCACACTCATGGCCACCACAGCCTCGACCCGCTGGGCTCAGGCGATCCTTCTGCCTCAGCCTCCCAAGTAGCTGGAACCACAGGCGTGCACCACCAAGCCTGGATCATTTTTTGATTTCTTGGAGAGACAAGGTCTCGCTATGTTGCCCAGGCTGGTCTCCAACCCCTGGGCTCAGGCAGTCCTCTTGCCTCCGCCTCCCAAGGTGCTGGGATGACAGGTGTGAGCCACCTCATCCAGTTTTTCGTGTTTTAAAGAGATGGGGTCTGGCTTCGCTGCCCAGGCTGGTCTTGAACTCCTGGGCTCCAGTGATCCTTCTGCCTCAACCTCCAGTGGGCCATTGTACCCAGCTTTCTTTTGTTTTATGGGACCATCAAGGGATGCCATGATGTGCTGGGTAGGAAGTCACTTGCCAAGCGGCTAATATGACGGTCTCTGTTGCCCTAGTGCTGGCTCTGGGGACACACAGGCATCCGCGTGGGTGTCGAGGACCACCGAGAGGACAGGTGTCTCTTGCACCCGCCCCCAGCAGTAGAGACTCCCGTCTGAGACTCACTCTCCCCAGCGTCCCCTGTGACCACACGTCTCAGGAGGGCAGAGGCTGGGAACGGGGTGGGGCTGGGGCAAGCCTCCAGGCCCCGCCCCCAGCTCCCCCCCCAGAAAGTGAGGACCCCCCCTCACCTGGCTGGCCCTGGCTGTCACCTCTGGAGAGCGGCGACCCCTCCCCGAGCCCCATCCGACTGGCCCACGGGGCCACTCACCGATGTCCTTGGCTCTGACGGCCACCGGCCTCCGGAGCTCGGTGACAAACTTTTTGGCGTCCAGGCGGATCTCAATGATGTTATTCAGTAGTGCAAACAGCGGGGCCAGCGGGAAGGACGCCACAAATAAGGTGACAAAGCCAAACTGGATGACTGCGGAGACAGCCCGGGCTCTGTCAGTGCCGCCGCGGCCCTCGGCCCCCGTGGGGACCCACCGCCCGCAACACACACCGGCTGGCTCAGTGCCTCCCGCCAGCCCCGGCCTGGGACCCACCCTCGGGCACACAGGGCGGGCGAGAGGGTCAGACCCATCGTGCCCCCGGTGACCTCCAGGCCGGGCGGAGTTCCACATTGTGCTCCGAGTCTGTGTTTGACTCTTTTTTTTCTTCTCGAGCTGGAGTCTCACTCAGTCGCCCAGACCGGAGAGCGGTGGCGCGCTCACAGCTCACCACAGCCTCGACCTGCTGGGCTCAGGCGATCCTCCTACCTCAGCCTCCCGGGTAGCTGGGTCCACAAGCGTGCACCACCACGCCTGGCTAATTTTTTGACGTACTGTAGAGACGAGGTCTCGCTACGTGGCCCAGGCTGGTCTCGGACTCCTGGCCTTGAGCCATCCTCCCACCTCGGCCTCCCAAAGTGCTGGGATAACAGGTGTGAGCCACCGGGCCCGGCTGGTGTTTGACTCTTGAATAACGGGCATGCTCACTTATCCTATGTCTGATCTCAAAAATTGTCACAGATGAGAAGAAGGCCTGTGGTCGTCCCCATGCAGGGCCGGGAAGGGATGTGGGGGTGACCTCAGTGCTCCTGTCAAGAGTCCAGACTTCCCCTTCCCTTGGGCCTCAGGGCCAGGTGGGCATCCCCTGCCCAGGACCACCTGGTCCCTCTGCCCCTGGGCTTCACTCTGGCAGGTCAGCCTGTCTGGCAGTGACCGGCGGCTGCTTTGGCCTCGAATGCCACAGCCAGCACGGGGCGGAGTCCGAGAAGAGGGTCAGAAGAGGTAGCCAAAGGGAACCCCGCGGGGGAAGCAGGTTCAGGAACTGCACAGCAGGCCCAGGGCGCTCGGTGCCAAGCGGTAAATAAGGAAGCCGGCAGAGTGTCACCGCCTGGCCGGCTGGCTGAGTGCAGGCATTGTTAGCACGGGGGTGGACAGGGTGGCGAGGGGGGTGCCCTGCACATTCCCAGGAGCAGGGTCTGCGGGGACCTCTCTTGCCCTGGCAGGCGGGCAGGGGGGCCACCCTGGGCACTGGCCCCGCCGGAAGTCTCTGGAGGCGACAGAGGCATCGCTTACGCTGGGCGGTGCAGGAGGTGTGTGAGCGGGCCTGCCGGGGCCCGAGGCTGCAGAGGCCGGGGGCCAGGGTTGCTAGCTGACTGGGCTTCCAGGGGGCATCGTCTCCCCTGGGGGTGGGACGGGGCGTTGGGAGCTGTCAGGGTGGGGCCTGGGCTTCCTCTGTCCCGTGAGCCTTCCCTGGAGGAGAAGGCAGGACGGGGACGGAGCCAGGGCAGCAGGGTGCCCTCGTGGGAGGTGGCGTGGTGGACCCGGGCGGAGGCGACCCGGGAAGCCTCCCTCCAACCCACGAGGAGCCCAGGGTGCCGCCTCGGCCACCAGGAAGGCTGAGCTCCCGGCGTCTGTTGCCCCAGGGTCCCCACGCCAGGTGTGACCCCGCAGGCAGTGGGTGCTTCCTGGGCCCCTTTCTTCCCTCTGTGTGGCCCTCGCGGAGTGTCACAGCTGGAAGGAGTGGCCCCGGAAGCCGCCCGCCCGCCCGTGCCCGGAGAAACTGAAGGGTCACCGCAGCCCCAGCTTGTGGCTGCCTGGGCTGGCTGCCCTGGATCCCGGCTGGGGGTCCCCTGTGCAACCCGCCGGGGTGGCTCACTGGGCGGCCTGGGCCAAGCGGAGGGCAGGGCGGTGCTTGCAGTGTGGCTAAACGCTCCCACCCTGCCAGGTCTTTGCTGAAAACGCAGAGTGCCAGGCTGCCCTCACACAGGCCAGGGAAAGGCCTGGGAACCGGCATATTTGAGACAAGGCCCAAGGTGGCCAGGCCCTGCACTCTGGGACCTCTTCCCATGCACGAGTCTTCCTGACTGCCTCTGCTCATCCACTCAGCCGGTAAACATGCATTGAGCGCCTACTGTATGCCTGGGGCCGATCTGGTGGCAGGGATATGGGCGTGACCTGTGCTCTGGGCCACCCCCACTGCACCCTGTGCCGGTCTTCCTGACGGCCTCTGCTCATCCATTCAGCTGGCAAGCATGCATTAGGCACCCACTGTATGCCTGGGCCTGCTCCGGGGCAGGGGTCCGGGAGTGAAGAGCAAGAAAGAGCGAGCCCACCTTCACAGGCTTCGGCCTGTGGATCGCCTGAGCCCGCGGGTTCGAGACCCGTCCGGGCAACTCGGCGGGACCTCGTCTCTACAGTAAACCAAAAATTAGCCGGGCGTGGTGGCGCGCGCCTGTAGTTCTGCTACTTGGAAGGCTGAGGCGGAGGCTGGGAGCGTGCCACGGCACTCCAGCCTGGGCAACGGAGTGAGACTCCAACTCAAAAAAACAACACAAAACACCGTGGTCTGGGAAGACCCCTCTGTTGGGGGACATTCTGAGCAGAGCCCCGGAGGGGCAGAGGGAGCCAAGCAGGTGCTTGGGGGAGAGCACTCCGCAGGGACTCAGCTTGTGCAAAGGCCGTGGGGCAGATCTGGGCACCAGTGTGTCTGGAGTGGAGGGAGGAAGTGGGGGGTGGGGATGACAGGGCCAGGGAGACTCCAGGTGGCCCGAGAGGCCACCCTGGCCCTTCCCGGGCTCCCCTCTGCCCCACGCTTGTCCAGTGCCACAGTTGCAAGTGGCTAGGCACCGTCCCTGCTCTGGGCGGGGGGCCTCGGGGCTCACACCGGGAAGGGGGCAGGAGTCACCCCCGAGGGCGCTGGGGTTTAGAGGGGGGACCCGGGGCTGCTGGGGGCCCGGAAATCGGGTCTCCAAGCTTCCTGGGGCCTCCGCGGAAGCAAAAGACCCGGCAGCGGGCAGAGGGGCTTGGCCCGGAGGTGTCGCGCACCGGGCACCTTCGGAGGAGGTGGTCCCTGGAGCCCGGGGGTCTCCCGTCTCCCTCCTCCCCTGGGAAGACCACTGGGCGCCGCGTGGGGGGCACCGCCCGCTAGGCAGCTGGTCTCCAGCGCCCGCCCCCCGCCCACGGGCCTCCCCGCCTCCAGTCAGTCACTCACTCATCTCCATGTACTCGGGCGTGAGGCCGGCGAAGGGCTCCAAGGTGTAGTCCACCTCGTAGCGCTGTTTCCTCTTCACGGGTTCCTCGTGGGCCGCCGGGCTCCGCCGCCGCAGCTTCAGATAGCGGATGAATTTCTTCATCTTCCTGCGAGTGACACGGCCCGTCAGGCGTCCGCACCTCTCAGCGCTGTGCCTGACTTTCCGATTTGTGTTTTTGAGTCGGGGTCTCCCTCTGTCGCCGAGGCTGGAGGGCAGGGGCACGCTACTCACGGCCACTGCAGCCTCGACCTGCTGGGCTCCGGCGATCCTCCCGCCTCAGCCTCCCGAGTAGCTGGGACTACAGGTCCGTGCCACCATGCCCGGCTAGTCTTTTTGGTTTATTGTAGAGATGAGGTCTCGCTGTGTTGCCCGGGCTGGTCTCGAATTCCTGGGCTCACGCGATCCTCCCACCTCGGCCTCCCAAAGCACTGGGACGACAGGCATGAGCCACCGTGCCCGGCTTGATTTTTTTTTTGAGTTGGAGTCTCACTCTGTCGCCCAGACTGGAGTGCAGTGGCCACTCCCGGCCACCGCAACCTCGACCTGCCGGGCTCCGGCGATCCTTCCGCCTCAGCCTTCTGAGTAGCCGGAATTACAGGCGCACGCTACCACACCCGGTTCATTTTTAATTTGTTGTAGAGATGAGGTCTCGCCAAGTTGCCCAGGCGGGTCTCGAACCCGCAGGCTC